GTTGAAAGGAAGAGGAGGAGAGGGAGGAGGAGAAGAGGAGGAGGAGGAGGAGGAGGAGGAGGAGGAGGAGGACGAGGTGGAGGAGGAGGAGGAGGACGAGGAGGGCTCCTGGCTTCCGCAGCGCCTGTCGACCAGCTGGGACCCGCGGGGCGCCCGCCCGTGTCGGCCATGGCTTGTGGCGGCCTCGTGGCCAGGGGCCCGTCCAGGGCGGGGGGCCGCTGCCCCTCCGCAGGCTCCGCGAGCTGCGCGCCGTGACGTGCTGTGTAGCTAGCGGCGTCTCCTCGTCCTGGACTGTGGAGCTCGACGGGTCATCTGAACCAGCACGATCGGCGTCACCGTCGCCCTCTCCGCCCCCGTTGCCCTCGCCGCCGTCGGCTCCAGCGTGGCCCATCCCGGGCCCTCAGCAGGTGGCCGCCGCGGTGAAGCCTGCACAGGAGCACGACGCCCAGGGACGCGTCGAGGCGCGTGAGGACAGCGAGGACCGCGGTCGCGACGCTGTACTCGAGGGCGTGCGGCGACCTCATCTGCTGCCCTCGCCGCCCTCGGCCTCGCCTCCTCCGCGGCTGCCTCGCAGCCGTGAGCGGCCCGCCGCCTCGCGGCGCTGCGCCTCGCTGGCCCGGTCCTCCAGGCCGGGGCGGCGCAGGCGTGCTATGGCCCCGCCCGCCCACCCGCAAAAGAACAGGGTTCGAAGGCTCCAGCGAGCCTTGAGCGAAATGGCAGCGGCGCAGGAGAGAACGAGAAAGAGAGAGAGAGAGAAAACAAAAAGAAAAAAGAGGAGGGCAGAAGACGGGGCTACGCCATGCAAAAGGACCCTCTTTTTTCACGAACGTCCAAGTGATGATGAAGAGGGCGAATGAGCGGCTGGGCGGGAGGTAGGGAAGGGTGTACCCCTACGGTAGGGGGAGGAGGAGGGAGAGGAGGAGGAGGGGGAGGAGGAGGAGGAGGAGGAGGAGGAGGAGGAGGCGGAGGAGGAGGCGGATGGAGAGGGGAGGAGGGTGAGGAGGAGGAGGAGCAGGAGGATGAGGCACCCTGTACAGTCCAACATGGGGGGAGAACTTTGGGCCCTGTACATGGCGCTCATGAATGCCGATGCGGGTCCTCTGGAAATCTGGACGGACTGCAAAGTTATAGTTGACGTCTGGAGCTTAGGCCCTGACCAGGATGTTTCGGGCCTTGCGTTCTCCGAGATTTGGGTCAAGGTCGTGGCCAAAGCTCTAGACATAGGCTGGAGTCTCATATTGATTTGTAAGATACGTTCCCACCTCCCTTGGAACCAGGCGCAGGTCCAAGGGTATCCTTTCTATGCGTGGATCGGCAACAGGACGGCCGACCGCCTTGCTCGGGACGGCACCTTGCTGCAGGAGCAGCCCGAGGCCCTCCGTTCATGGTACCAGTCAGTCTGCAAAGGTATCAAACAGGTTGGGAAGTTTTTAGGCTTCGTGCTGGGGGAAGCGTCTCGGGGAGGCTTGAGGGATGTGGAGCGTTGCAAGGCCAAGTCCAAGGCCCCCCGCCACTCCCCAGATGCCCCCCAGCTTGTCTTAATTCCAGAGCCCAACGGCCACACGATCTGTAGGGGTGGCAGATCTTATATGTGCGGCATCTGCAGGGAGCGAGCGGAGTCCGGAGGTGCCCTCGCTGCGTTCCCCTGCCGTGGGATCCCCAATCTCGCCGCGTCGGCACACCCCTCCCACGTGCTCTGGATGGGCTCGGGGCCATCTGGGAGGATAGTTTGGTGTCGGAAATGCGCGGCGTTCGGGGTCCTACGCTCCCGTTTCTTGAAGGAGAAATGCACTGGACGGCCTCGGAACGGGGCGGCAGAGAAGAGTCTGTCGATGCTCCTGGCGGGCAAGGACCCCAGCTCGAGGTGCCTGTTCGGTCGCAGCTCCCAAGTCAAGATTGGGAGGATTAAATCGGTTTTTGCTCGGTCTCTTGCGCCTCGGATGCGGGAGACTGTGGCGGCGTTGAAAGCGTTGAAAGGAAGAGGAGGAGGGGGAGGAGGAGAAGAGGAGGAGGAGGAGGAGGAGGAGGAGGACGAGGTGGAGGAGGAGGTGGAGGAGGCAGAAATGGAGGAGGAGGAGGAGGAGGAGGAGGAGGAGAAGCAGGAGGAGGATGAGGGCGAGGAGGAGGAGGAGGCGTAATTAGGAGAAGGTGGAAAAGGAGCAGGAGGAAGAGGAGGAGGAGGAGCAGGAGGAGGAGGACGAGGAGGAGGAGGCGGAGGAGGAGGAGGCGGAGGAGGAGGAGGTGGAGGAGGTGGCGGAGGTGGGAAGCAGAAATCGGGGGGGTGGCGGGGGGTAGGATAAGTAACGGAGAGGGGCGCTTGTCTTGATAGCCAGGCTCTACACGAAGGAGATGGTGGATCGGATGATCGAGCTGTGCATGGAACCCTTCGTGAATCAGTCCGCGGCTGGCGACCAGGAGGAGGTCCGATGACGATGACGGTGACGACGACGACGCTGATGATGATGCTGATGATGATGCTCCTGATGATGATGATGACGATGATGATGATGATGATGATGGTGATGATGATGCTAATGATGAAGCTGATATTGATGATGCTGGCGATGACGATGCTGATGATGCTGATGATAGCGGTGATGTTGAGAATGCTGATGCTGTTGATGCTGACGCTGCTGACAAAGTTGCTTCTAATTCTGATGATGCTGATGAGGCTGTTGCTGATGCCGATGATGCAGCTGATGCAGCTGATGATGCTGATGATGCTGATGATGCTGCTGATGATGATGATGATGATGATGATGATGATGACGATGCTGATGACGATGCTGACGATGGAGATCACGCTTATGCTGCTGTCGATGATGATGATGGTGACACGACTGATGACGACCATGATGATGGTGCTGATGATTATGATGATGATGATTATGAGTATGCTAATGATGACGATGCTGGTGATGCTGACGGTGTTGATGATGCTGGTGATGATGCTGCGGATGATGATAATGCTGATGATGATACTGATGATTATGCTGTTTATGATGATGCGGATGCTGCTGATAACAATGGCGATCCTGCTGCTGATGATGATGCTGCTGGTGATGCTGATGATGATATGGTGATGATGATGGTACTGATGCTGATGCTGACGATGATGAAGATGGTCATGACGACTATGCTGATGTTTTGTATTGTGATGATGATGCTGATGCTGGTGATGCTGCTGATGTTGATGATGACGATGCTGATGTCGATGTTCATGATGTCGCTGGTGATGATGGTCATGTTAATGGTGCTGATGCCAGCGATGACGCTGATGATGGCGAGGGCGAGGATGACGACGAGAATGTGGAGAAGTATGCTAATGATGCTGCTGATGCTGCTTTTGCGGATGCTGATGCCGCTGATGGTGTTTATGTTGAGGATTACGGTGATGATGATGACGATTATGTTGATGATGATACTAATGATGATGCTGATGATGATGATTATGATGAGGATGAGGATGAGGATGATGACGCTGATCATGCTGCTGCTGATGATGATGATGATGATGATGATACTGATGATGATGATGATGATGATGATGATGATGACGATGATGAGGCTGATGATGCTACCTCAGATGATGATGTTGTTGGTGACGTGCATGATAATGCTGTTGTTGAGGACGGTGATGCTGGGGATGTTTGCCATTACGTGAGGACGGGGCCAACTACAATTTTCTAGGTGAGCCTGATGAGGCGAGGGGAGGAGGACGAGGAGGATGATGGTGATGAGGAGGATCGTAGGGAATGCGGAAGAGCAAGGGAGGGAGTGATGGATGGAGGGGGGAGGAGGAGGAGAAAGGAGGATGGATGGGGAAGGCAGGGAGGTAGGGAGGCAGCTGGGGACTGCTCCGACCGGGGAAGGGGAGGGAGGCTGAGCAGAGGCGGAGGCAGGCAGGCAGGTCTCCTCCTCATCCTCCTCCTACTCTTCTCCTCCTCCTCCTCTTCCTCCTCCTCCTCCTCCTCCTCCTCCTCTCCCCGCCCCTCCGTCTCCTGCTGCCCCTGGTTCGTCTCCCCAGGCCAGGAAGCAAGCGTCCTCCCGTCCGGGACTGCGCGTTGGGCCCGCGGGCCCGTCTCCTCCGGCAGCGGGCCGCGGGTCGCCCGGGGGGCGACCTGCGTCGACTCCGCGGCGTCCGCTCCGGCGCCGGGCACGCACGCTCGGGCGCGGCGGGGAGGGCGGTAGGGAGGGCGGAGGGGCGGGGGGGGGGGGGCGGTGGCCTGTGCCTGCCGCGCTGCGCGGGAGGAGGCGCCGCGCCCTCGCCCGAGAGGCCATCGGTTTTCGAACAAGGAAAAATGGCTTTTGCATTCCAGGAACTCGTTTTTGAGTTGAACATGTGGTTTTCGAATTCAAGAAATTGGTTTTCGAATTCCAGAAGTTGGTATCTGGATTCAAAGACTTGGTTTCTGAGTTCAACAAAAAGGAGAGGAGGGGAAAGCCTGGGGAGAGGCTCCCTTGGGGAACCTCTGCCGCAGGGGCCCCCGCCCGTAACACCGGCCGCCTCACGTCGACGCGGTGCGCAGCTGCGGGACTCTGAGTGCGGAGGCAGCGGGGGTCAAGTCACCCCGGAAGGCAAGGAGGACTCTTGGTCACCACCCCTAGCCGGATTTGAGAGGGCAGAGCCCTTGCCCGTCCTGCTCCTGGCCCCTGGCTTTGCCTGACGTTTCTTCAGAGGCCTGTCTGAGTTGGTCACCTTAGAGTATCACAGAGCTCGACCAGGGATAGGCTTTCTGGTGCACGGGGAGCCGAGCTGGATCGGATCCGCCGCGACGCCTCCGACCCGGCTTCCCCCCCCCCACCTGTGTGAGAGTAGATGGTCGGCAGCTGGATCCCCGCAGGCGCACCCAAGGTCCCTAGACAGGGGGGCGCGCCGCAGCAGCCCGCCAAGGGGGGGGATCACGGGTGCTGCGCGAGGGCCATCGCTCCCGCTGGCTGCTCCGCAGTCGTTTCGATCGTGGAGCTGATCGAACTTCACACCCAAGACGGGGCGGAAGCGGAGCTGAGAGGAGGAGGAGGAGGCATTCGAGGAGAAAGGATAAAGGAGAACATAGGCGGAGGAGAACGAGAAGGACAAGGAGGACAATGAGAACAAGGAGGAAGAGGAGGAGGAGGAAGAGGAGGAGGAGGAGGAGGAGGAGGAGGACAAGGAGGACAAGGAGGACAAGGAGGACAAGGAGGAGGAAGGGGAAGAGGGGGACAAGGAGGACAAGGAGGACAAGGAGGAGGAAGAGGAGGAGGAGGAGGAGGAGAAGGAGGAGGAGGAGGAGGAGGAAGAAGAGGAGGAGGCGGCGGGGAGTCCAGCGCATCAGGTCTGCCTGACTCCAGCGGCCACATGTAACCACATCACCTTCGCCATCGCTGCAGAGTTCGCGCTTGCCTCCTCCGAGCAGTTGCGCCGCTTGCTTAACAGCGTGCCAGGCTCCGTCGGTGTAGTCCGAAACATCGGGCCAGTGAGGCTCGGCTTCTGATGTATGGGAAAGGGGAGGAAGGGAGGAAGGATAAGGAGGGGAGGCAGGGAGATGGAGGGATGATGAGGAGTGGAAGGGCGAAGAGGCGGGCTCGGCGGGGAGGCGGAGAGAGGGCCAGCGACACTCGCCCCCGCACCTGGGGGAGAGGGAGAGTGGGCAGGAGGGTAAGCAGGATGTGGCTGGACTCGCACTGTTACCTCGGTCTGAGTTGCCCCAAGGTTCATCCTTGACAATATTTTCCGGAGTTGGGTCCCTGGGCATCACGCCGGCGTACGTGCAGGAGACGAGGGACAAAACACGGCATATGCATCAACGTTCGGAGGTCCGCGCGGATTTCTTGAATAGGCGCTGGGCCCCTCTCCCCACACCCACCTTCCCTAGCGCGCGGAGCTCGCCAGAGGCGGCGCCAGATCCGCACGGAGCTCCGAAGGTTTATGGTGAAACTGTTTGTTTTTCTCCAGGAGCTCGTGGTCACGTACGGGAAGACCCGTTGCTTCCTAGATCTGAGGGTGTCGAAGCCATGGCGCTCGTGCACCACCGGCAACGCCTGCTCTGTGCAGTGAGTCTGAGCGCCGAAAGCGGCGCCAGAGCAGGGTACGGGTTGGCCAGCCACAGCTACAGGGAACATCTAGCTTGCCTCCTCCTCCTTCTTCTCTCCCTTGTTCTCCTCCTCTTATTCCTCCCCCTTAAACCGAGGGGGTCTCTATTTAGTTTTGAACTTTCCCCCCCGTGTTTCTCTCGGCGGGGAATAGACTCCGCCCTTCTCCTCCTCCTCCTGCTCCTCCTCCTCCTCCTCGTCATCGTCGTCCTCCTCCTCGTCGTCGTCGTCCTCCTCCTCCTCCACGTCCTCCTCCTCCTCCTCCTCCCCCTCGTCCCATTCCTACGGAGGAGGAGGGGGGAAGGCAGAGGACGAGGAGGAGGAGGAGGAGGAGCAGGAGGAGGATTAATAATTTGTTCCCATTTTTGATGGACCCCTCAGTCCGTCAAACAGGGCGTCGAGCCGATAATTAGCTTCCATGTGTTGTTGTTGTTGTTGTTGTTGTTGTTGTTGTTGTTGTTGTTGTTGAACTCTCATTTTTAAAAATGATTATTGTTGATCCCACCTACCGGTGCACATTGATTTTTTTTCAATTGAAGTGCCCCCCCCGGGGCTCGCTCTTGTTTTTTGTCAAGGAAAGTCTTCCTGCTCAAACTGGCCCCCTGGCCCCCGGGTTACGACAACAACGGCTCCCGCCGGAGACTTCCTCACAATTTAGCCAGGACCCCCGCTCCCGCCCGAGATTTCCTCGCATTTTATTCAAGAATCGCGCTCTCGTTTGTGACTTCCTTACGATTGATTCAGGAATCGCTCTCCCGGCGCTCTGGAGTCACGCTCTCGCTGGAGACTTGCTTACAATTTACTGAAGAATAGCGCCCTTGCCTTGAAATTTCTTGCAATTTGCTCCAGCGCCGCGCTCCCGACACCCAGGCACCCAGGAGTCGCGCTCACGCTTAGGACTCCTTCACATATTACCTAGGAATCGGGATCTCGCTGCCCTTCATGGCCCCGTTGCAGCCCTTAGTGGCCCCCTCGCTTTGTTTCGTGGCCCCGTTGCAGCCCTTCGTGGCCCCCTCGCTTTGTTTCGTGGCCCCGTTGCAGCCCCTCGCGGCCTCCTCGCTGCCCTTCGTGGCCCCGTTTCAGCCCTTCGTGGCCCCCTCGCTTTGTTTCGTGGCCCCGTTGCAGCCCGTCGTGGCCCCCTCGCTTTGTTTCGTGGTCCCGTTACAGCCCTTCGTGGCCCCGTTGTAGCCCTTCGTGGCCCCCTCGCTGCCCTTCGTGGCCCCGTTGCAGCCCTTCGTGGCCCCCTCGCTTTGTTTCGTGGCCCCATGTATGTATGCACTTCGTGGCCCCCGCTCGTTCGCGCCCGTGGTTGCCCCATATGCATGCCCTTCGTGGCCCCGCTGTCGCCCTTCGTGGCCCCCTCGCTGCCCTTCGTATCCCCGTTGCTGCCCTCAGTAGCCCCGTCCATACCCTCCGCGGCCCAACCTACGTATGCCCTTCGTGGCCCCCGCTCGTTCGCGCCCGTTGTAGCACCATGTGCATGCCCTTCGTGGCCCTGCTGTCGCCGTTTGTGGCCCCCTCATTGTCCTACGTGGCCCAGGTGCTACCCTCATTGGCCCCATCGTTGCCTTCTGTGGCCCCGCATGAGCTGCCCTTCGTGGCCCACGCTCGTTCGCGCTCTTCGTGGCCCCATACGCATTCCCTTCGTGTCCCCGCTGTCGCCCTTCGTGGCCTACTTCGTGTCCTTCGTGGCCCTGCTGTCGTTCTTTCTCGCTCTCGCTTTCGCTCGTCGTCGTCGTCGCCTTCGAAGTCGTCGCCGTCGTCTTCGACGTCGTCGTCGTCGTCGTCGTCGTCGTCGTCGTGGTCGGTCCCCTGTCCGTCCCTCTTGGGGTCGGGTCGACGGTCCGCGGCCGCCCCGCCGATCAGCGCTGCCGCTGGCCAGGCCGACGGTCCGCGGCCGCCCCGCCGCTTGCCGGGGCCCGGCCTGCAGGGAAGAAAGGTATGCCCCCCAAAAGGGGTTCGATCGAAGACGAAAAGGGCGGGTATCGAGGGCTTGGGAAATTCGCGTTACTCGACACTCGAGCAGGTAAGGGCGAACAGTCATAAAATGATTGTTGTTGTTGTTGTTGTTGTTGTTGTTGTTGTTGTTGAGTTCTCATTTCCGAAGAATAATTCTTTACGCTTCGCGTATCCCCACCAGCCCATCTCACAACAGCAACTCTTGCGAAGCATGCCGACAGTCGTGTTTTTGCAGGCGTGTGTCCGCTTGGCCCCGCATATCTCCCCTGTTCCTCCTTCCTCCCGCCTCCTTGTACATCCTCCTTGTGGGGGGAGCGGGAGAAGGACGAGGCGGAGGAGGAGGGAGAGAAAGCGCTCCTCGTGGTTTGAGTCGTTTGGGGTTTCTCGTCCTGGTGTGAGTCGTTCGGGCCCTTCTTCCTGGTGTGAGTCGTTCGGGCTCTTCGTGGTGTGAGTCGTTCGGGCTCTTCGTCCTGGTGTGAGTCGTTCGGGCTTCTCGTGGTGTGAGTTGTTCGGGCCCCTCGTCCTGGTGTGAGTCGTTCGGGCCCCTCCTCCTGGTGTGACTCGTTCGGGCTCCTCGTGGTGTGAGTCGTTCGGGGCCCTCGTCGTGGTGTGAGTCGTTCGGGCTCCTCGTGGTGTGAGTCGTTCGGGCGCCTCGTCCTGGTGTGAGTCGTTCGGGCCCCTCCTTCTGGTGTGAGTCGTTCGGGCTCTTCGTGGTGTGAGTCGTTCGGGCCCCTCGTCCTGGTGGTGTGTCGTTCGGGCTCCTCGTGGCGTGAGGCGTTCGGGCACCTCGTCCCCTTTTGGGGCGTCTTGGGGGCCTCTTGGCGGCCCCAGGGGCTTCTAGGAGCGTCTTGGGTGCCTTGGGGGAGCCTCTTCGGGCCTCAGAGCCTCTTGGAGGCCGTTCTTGGGGGCCTCTTGGCGGCCCCAGGGGCTTCCAGGAGCGTCTTGGGTGCCTCGGGGGAGCCTCTTGGGGCCTCTTGGGGGCCTCTTGGGGGCATCTTGGGGGCCTCTTGGAGGCCTCTTGGGGGCCTCCTGGGGGCCTCTTGGGGCCATCTTGGGGCCTCTTGGTGCCTCCTGGGCGCTTCTGGGGGCCATCTTGGAGGAAATCGATCAAAGAAGAGGGGAGCTTTCATTAGCGCTGCCCCCTCAGAATGGCAAAATGGGGCCAAAACCGTCGTAAAATCAATGATTTTGCCTTGAAAGAAGACGGGAGCTTTAATGAGCGCTGCCCCCTCAGAAGGCCAAAATGGGGCCAAAACCGTAGTAAAATCAATGATTGTGGCTTCAAAGAAGAGGAGAGCATTTTTTCTGCCTCCCCCCGTCGGGGCCAGAATCCTCGTGAGGGGTGTCGTTTTTTAGCCCTCCCAGGAATCGAAAATGACCCCCCTGACGACCCGCGAAAGGACCTCTCCAGGCCCAGGGGGAGGGGGTAGGGGGAGGGGTAAACCCCTCCCCGAAGGGGAAGAATGGGGGTTGAGAACAGAGCGGGCTCTCTAAACCACTCACGCCCAAAGGGCTGGTGGGATTATTGTTGATCCCCCCCCACCGGTGCACACTTGTTTTCTCAATCAAAGTGTGCCCCTCGACGCTCGTACCTTGTTTTTTGACAGGGAAAGGCTTGATGATCAAACTGGGCCCTTGGCCCCCGGGTTACAACAACAACGGCTCCCGCCTGAGATTTCCTTACAAGTTAGCCAGGACCCCCGCTCCCGCCCGAGATTTCCTCGCATTTTATTCAGGAATCGCGCTCTCGCTTGGAACTCCAGGAATCGCTCTCCCGGCGCTCTGGAGTCGCGCTCTCGCTGGAGACTTGCTTGCACGTTGCTGAAGATTGGCCTTGCGTTGGAATTTCCTGCAATTTGCCCAAGCGCCGCGCTCCCGACACCCAGGCACCCAGGAGTCGCGCCCGTTGTGGCCCCATGTGCATGCCCTTCGTGGCCACGCTGTCGCCATTTGTGTCCCCCTCACTGTCCTACGTGGCCCAGTTGCTACCCTCAGTGGCCCCATAGTTGCCTTCTGTGGCCCCGCATTATCTGCACTTCGTGGCCCCCGCTCGTTCGCGCTCTTCGTGGCCCCATACGCATTCCCTTCGTGTCCCCGCTGTCGCCCTTCGTGGCCTACTTCGTGCCCTTCGTGGCCCTGCTGTCGTTCTCTCTCGCTCTCGCTTTCGCTCGTCGCCGTCGTCGTCGTCGTCGTCGTCGTGGTCGGTCCCCTGTTCGTCCCTCTTGGGGTCGGGTCGACGGTCCGCGGCCGCCCCGCCGATCAGCGCTGCCGCTGGCCAGGCCGACGGTCCGCGGCCGCCCCGCCGCTTGCCGGGGCCCGGCCTGCAGGGAAGAAAGGTATGCCCCCCAAAAGGGGTTCGATCGAAGACGAAGAGGGCGGGTAGCGAGGGTTTGAGAAATACGCGTTATTGGACACTCGAGCATATAAGGGCGAACAGTCTTAAAATTGTTGTTGTTGTTGTTGTTGTCGTCGTCGTCGTCGTCGTCGTCGTCGTCGTTGTTGTTGTTGTTGTTGTTGTTGTTGTTGTTGTTATTGCTGGGGTTTCTTAAGTCGTATCGTGATGATCCGTTCTGCCACCTGATCCTCCTGCTTCCCCTCCTCTTCTCCTTCTCTCCCTGTCCTCCTCCCTCGTTATATCCTTTATCCCCCCCCTTCCCCCTCCCACTTCCCTTCACTCGTCCCCCTCCTCCTCTTCCTCCTCGAGACATTCTCTGCTAGGACAAAGCCAGCGGGGTTTCTGGGAAGCTCTCCGACATTGTCATCGTTTTGCTCCATGGTTGCCCTGTCCACGCGTGGCATACCATTGTGGTACATCAGGCCCCGAGTCCTACCAACGTGGTTAAGGCGCTCCAGAGCCATATCACTTGAGGCCTTGAAGCTCCCTCCTCCCTCCTTCTCCTCCTCCATTCTCCACCTCCTGCCTCTCCTCATCCTTCTCCTCCTCTTCCCTCTTCAGCGTTGGAACTCCTTCTCCTTCTCCTGCTCGTACTCCCCCCTCATACCCCT